AGTTCTCAATCTGCTCTCCAGGGGGCTGAATGTTCTGAAAAAAACCTTTTTGATGCATAATTTTCTTGTAAATTTGTTCAAATCTATAAAGGTAGTAAAAGGCTGGTTAAAACATGTAGGTGCAAATTTTAAACCTTTATTTAAAACTTGTATATGTTCATTGGTTTAATCTGCAAATTTCCACTATAAATGATAAACATATATCACTATACAGTACTGCGGTGCTATAATTTCTTCTCCCCTTCTTCCACTACAGCACAAACTGACTCACTGATAATGAATGGTGGCTGTCCTGACAAGCAATTGAGAGTAACATGGCATGCATAGAACTTAAAGGGACACTATAGTCATCAGAACAACTACAGCTTATTGTATTTGTTCTGGTGAGTATAGTCATTCCTTTCAGGCTTTTTGCTGTAAACTCTGCCCTTGCAGAGACAATGCAGTTTTTACATTACAGCCTAGGGATACCTCCACTGGCCACTCCTCAGATGGCTACTAGAGGTGTTTCCTTGGGCAGTGCTGCACACTGTGCAGTACTGCCATTCAGTGTCTACACCCTCTGCATGCAGACACTGAACCTTCCTAATAGAAATGCATTGATTCAATTCATCTCTATGAGGAGATGCTGATTGGCCAGGGCTGTGTTTGACTTGTGCTGGCTCTGCCCCTAATCTGCCTCCTTGATAGTCTCAGCCAATCATATGGGGAAGCACTGTGATTGGCTCAGACCACTACTTCTGAGGATGTCAGCCAAGCAGGCAGATTAGAGGCAGAGGCAGCAGCTGCAGACTTGAATACAAGTAAGCTTTTACCACATTTAGGGAGGCAAGGGGGATTGGGGTGGGGGGTACATGGTGGTTTTAATACCATGGGGTCAGGTATACATATTTGTTTTCCTGGCCCTATAGTGTTCCTTGAAGATATTTGTTATGTCTTTCCTTGTAATGCAATAATTGAGAGTGAAATACCTACATTGTAATTTTTGGAGGGTTTTGCTCATTACGTGCACCTCAGAAGCGAAGGGATTGTAATTTTTGGAGGTTTTTGCTCATTACATGTACCTTCAGAAGCGAAAGGATTGTGATTTTTTTCTTCTTTATTTTTCCTCAAGTGTAATGTAAACATTCAAATTGTGTTTCAATGTTTTCTTACTTATATGTTGGGCCATGTAAAATTTATTGCAAGTAAAATGTCAAACAACATTTATATCTGCTTTGGAAATAATCATAAAATGAAAAAAAAAAAAAATTATGTCCATGCAAGAATTTCTTTCCAGTCTGGCTATTTTGATTTAAAATCGACAATTCCCAAATGAATTCCCAAACACACTCAATTCAGTGAATAACCCCAGGGATTCAAAGACTCCCGATTTGTATGTATGTGCAAAAAGAAAAGTCAAGAAACTATTGCACAAATAAACTTAATAACCCAGTGCACAGTTTTCTGCATATTTGTGAGACATTTGTGTTCACAAGGAGTGGACTGAGGCTGGAGTCAGTGCATCAAGGGCCACCACACACAGACGGATCCTGGACATGGGCTTCAGATGTCGTATTCCTCTTGTCAAGCCGCTCCTGAACAACAAACAACGTCAGATGCGTCTTACCTGGGCTAGAGAAAAACAGACCTGGTCTATTGCTCAGTGGTCCAAAGTCCTCTTTTCTGATGAGAGCAACTTTTGCATCTCATTTGGAAACCAAGAACCCAGAGTCTGGAGGAAGAATGGAGAGGCACACACTGCAAGATGCTTGAAGTCCAGTGTGAAGTTTCCACAGTCTGTGTTGATTTTGGGAGCCATGTCATCTGCTGGTGTTGGTCCACTGTGCTTCATTAAGTCCAGGGTCAACACAGCCGTCTACCAGGAGATTTTGGAGCACTTCATGCTTTCTTTCGCAGACGAGCTTAATGGGGATGCTGACTTCAATTTCCAGCAGGATTTGGCACCTGCCCACACTGCCAAAAGCACCAAAGCCTAGTTCAATGACTGTGGGATTACTGTGCTTGATTGGCCAGCAAACTCGCAAACTGTGCTTGATTGGCCAGCAAAGATGCCAAGAGAAAGATGAGAGACATGAGACCGAACAATGCAGAAGAGCTGAAGGCCGCTATTGAAGCATCCTGGTCTTCCATAACACCTCAGCAGTGCCACAGGCTGATAAATTCCATGCCACGCCACATTGAGGCAGTAATTGCTGCAAAAGGGGCCCAAACCAAGTACTGAGTCCATATGCATGCTTATACTTTTCAGAGGTCTGATATTGTTCTATGTACACTCCTTGTTTTATTGATTGCATGTAATATTCTAATTTACTGAGATTGTGGATTTGGGGTTTTCATGAGCTGTAAGCCATAATCATCGCACTTATTACAAATCACGTAACTATCTTGCTTTGCATGTAATGCGTCTATCTCATATATTATTCCCCTTTTACGTTGCATTACTGAAAAAAATGAACTTTTGCACGACATTCTAATTTTTCGAGTATAACCTGTATGTTTGAATATAAGCATGTTTTTATATGTAGTATGTGTGTGTGAATGTTGGGGTGTATTTGTATGAAGTGTTGTATTGTGTGTTTTTATGTACTGTTACCATTAAAAAACTGACACATAAAGATACACAGGTACAGACATACAGATACAAAGACAAACATTGACACACATACAGATACACAGATACACAGACACACAGTTACACACACTGACACACATACAGATATACAGACACACACCAATACACATAAAGATACACAGACACACAGATACACACGCTGACACACATGCAGATACACAGACACACACAAAAACATACATGCAGTTATACAGATATACAGATATACACAATGACACTCATACAAATACAAACACTGACACACATACAGATACACAGACACACACACAGATACACAACGGCATGACACACCTATACACATACAAACACACATATAGATACAGAGACAATCAGACACACATACAAACACACAGATAGATACACAGACACACACAGAGATACACAGATATATCCACAGAAACACAGATAAATAAACTGACATACTTACAGACACACATGCAAAATGTACACATTTTAAACCACCCTTCTGTTTCCTAGCTTTTAGGTGCATATATATATACACTGCTCAAAAAAATAAAGGGAACACTTAAACAACACAATGTAACTCCAAGTCAATCACACTTCTGTGAAATCAAACTGTCCACTTAGGAAGCAATACTGAATGACAGTTAATTTCACATGCTGTTGTGCAAATGGGATAGACAACAGGTGGAAATTATAGGCAATTAGCAAGACACCCCCAATAAAGGAGTGGTTCTGCAGGTAGTGACCACAGACCACTTCTCAGTTCCTATGCTTCCTGGCTGATGTTTTGGTCACTTTTGAATGCTGGCAGTGTTTTCACTCTAATGGTAGCATGAGACAGAGCCTTCAACCCACACAAGTGGCTCAGGTAGTGCAGCTCATCCAGGATGGCACATGAATGCGACCTGTGGCAACAAGATTTGCTGTGTCTGTCAGCGTAGTGTCCAGAGCATGGAGGCGCTACCAGGAGACAGGCCAGTACATCAGGAGACGTGGAGGAGGCCGTAGGAGGGCAACAACCCAGCAGCAGGACCGCTACCTCCGCCTTTGTGCAAGGAGGAACAGGAGGAGCACTGCCAGAGCCCTGCAAAATGACATCCAGCAGGCCACAAATGTGCATGTGTCTGCTCAAATGGTCAGAAACAGACTCCATGAGGGTGGCATGAGCGCCCGACGTCGACAGGTGGGGGTTGTGCTTACAGCCCAACACCGTGCAGGACATTTGGCATTTGACAGAGAACACCAAGATTGGCAAATTCGCCACTGGCGCCCTGTGCTCTTCACAGATGAAAGCAGGTTCACACTGAGCACATGTGACAGACGTGACAGGGTCTGGAGACACCGTAGAGAACGCTCTGCTGCCTGCAACATCCTCCAGCATGACCAGTTTGGCAGTGGGTCAGTAATGTTTTTCCACTTTAACTTTGAGTGTGACTCCAAATCCAGACCTCCATGGGTTGAAAAATTTGATTTCCATTTTTTTATTTTTGTGTGATTTTGTTGTCAGCACATTCAACTATGTAAAGAACAAAGTATTTCAGAAGAATATTTAATTCATTCAGATCTAGGATGTGTTATTTTTGTGTTCCCTTTATTTTTTTGAGCAGTGTATGTATATTTTTATTTTTATTATTTTTTTTTATGTTTTACATTATTTTATTTTATATGTAAATATGTATACAATATATAATTACTGTACATATTTATTTATACATATATATATGTAATATATATGTAATTTCATTCTAAGTGTATTTTATATTACTATATATATACAAATATCTATATTAATAAAAAAATACACTTATTATGTTTTCATAATATAAGATTAACTTTTAAAATATATTCAAAATATTAAATTATCAAAAACTATATCATATAAGAAAACAAATATCAATATATCAAAAAAATGAAATATTACAAAATGAAAATATTTTTCATAGTAATAAATTAAGTTTTTCCAACAATATTAAATCGAGTCCTATGTTAGATTTAAGAATGACAAAGACCGACATTGTATATGCAAAGAAAAATAAAATAAACCAATTGAACCGTTGAATATCTATCATCGAGTTTAAATTCAGTTTACTTTTGCATTCAGCAAAAGCTTCCTATAACGTTCATGTAGCTTAATTGGTTAATACACCTCACCATCGGTAGAATAAAATAGTATAGGAGAGTTGCAAGATTAATACCTGGCGGTATCAACTCAGTTGTGAACTATTCCATAAATACATTACTGAGAGGGTAGTGGATGCATGGAATAGCTTTCCAGCTGAAGTGGTAGAGGTTAACACAGTAAAGGAGTTTAAGCATGCATGGGATAGACATAAGGCTATCCTAACTATAAGATAAGACTAGGGACTAATGAAAGTATTTAGAAAATTGGGCAGACAAGATGGGCCGAATGGTTCTTATCTGCCGTCACATTCTATGTTTCTATGTTGATAAATATGTATGGAAAGGGTGTAACTCACAAATGATCTGTAAGGGTAACCAACCCAGCTGAAATAGTAGCTATAACATAGAAACATAGAATGTGACGGCAGATAAGAACCATTCGGCCCATCTAGTTTGCCCAATTTTTTTAATATAAGGGATATCTAACACGATTAGACCACAATGAAGTAAAGGCAAAGAACAATAAACTGTATCAAATTGCTGGGGCAATTCTAGTGCATCTAGATTGCCGTTAGCCATTTCATGTGACACAGGGAGCCTGAGAGAGGACTGCATCAATACAGTGTGGCTGAGTGTTTCCTTATAAAAAGGACCTTTTAATGAATTTAATTGAATGTCTGCTTAGTCTTGTATTTGTGATATAAATCAGATGTTGGATTATTCTTTATTTTTTTGTAACATTAAGTTAATATGGTTAATCTCTTTTACCATGATTAGAGCACTCAGATAGACCAAGCTGAGGTTTGAGATCTTGCAGCACCATGAGCATTAAATCTAATAAAGATATTAATAATTCAGGAAGAATAACTTTGCTGTAGTATATCATCCTCCATCCTCTAATCCCTTCACACATATGTCTGTGCTATAGGTGTGTTTGTGTGTGTGCACCTGTTTGTGTTTGTGTGTGTGCACCTTCCTTTTTTCAAATTTATTTTTATTGCATAGAAATAGGATATTGTGCAAATTGAGTCATTGTGAATAGAAATTTTTATTTTTTTTAAATAAATATGTTCACAACTTATTGATCATGCATGAAATAAAGTCACTGATGGATAATCACAGGATGGTGCAAGGAATAAAGAACGTTGCAGATTATATTTCATATCACGTGTTTGAAACCTATGAAGCATACTCAATGTTTACTGCTTGTGGTGGAAGTCCTTACATAGAACAGTTGTGTAGGAGACAAAAAAAAAGAAAGAAATTTGAAAAGCAGGTTCACCATGTTTTCAGCAATATAAGTCTGCTGTAAGTATACACCCCTCTACTCATCCAATCACAAGTCCAAGCACAGTTTGTCTGAAGGAAAAGTGTCCCTTTATCATATGATTGCTAGTGGATCTTGTATGGTGAACTTCAGACACAGCCTTACCTGGGTTCAGGCCAGACAAGGGCCCATATATCAGAGCTGGATTTAGGTGTCCCTGGTCCCTAGGCAAGGTGGCAGATTGGGACCGCTTCCTAGAACTCTGGGTTCTGTTTCTGTGAGAGGTGATTTTGAAAGAGTGTGTAGTGGCTGAGTGTTGTGTGTTTGGAGGAGTATGTATGTCAAGCAGGTCAAATTCGTGGCCCGCGGCCTGCATGTGGCCCACAATGAATATATTTGCTGCCCGGCAAGCCACGCGTTTGCCATACTTACTAAGGCAGAGTAGACACCTGCTCTTGCTACATTGCAGGTGCCTACTCTGCTCAAATTTACTCAGCCAGGTGGAGAGGTCACTGGCGGCAGCTAGGGAGCTCAGTCTTCCTGCTCCTCACTGCTCCCTCGCGGGCTGTCTGTAGTGATGCCCGGTGCTGGAATATGATGTTGTTCCGGAACCCGGCATCACTAAACTGCATGCGTGAGCCAGCAGTGAGGAGCAGGTAGGAGACCTCCCAAGCGAAGATTCCCACTGGACCCCAGGGAGAGGACCCACACCAGCTCCCAAAGGTAGGGAACAATAAATAAAATGATGTGAGTGTGTGCAAGAATGTGTAAATGTGTGTGTCTGTCAGTGAGTGTTTGTGTCTGTCAGTGTGTGTGTGTGTCTGTCTGTCAGTCAGTGAGTGTGTGTGTGTGTCTGTCAGTGAGTGAGTGAGAGTGTGTGTCTGTCGGTGGGTGAGTATGTGTGTGTGCATGTCAGTGAGTGTGTCAGTCAGTGTGTGTGTGTCTGTCTGTCTGTCTGTCAGTAAGTGTGTCTGTTAGTGAGTGTGTGTATGTCAGTGTGTGTGTGTGTCTGTCTGTCAGTGTGTGTCTGCCAGTCAATGAGTGAGTGACTGTCAGAGAGTGAGTGTGTGTGTCTGTCAGTGAGTGTATCTGTCAGTGAGTGTGTGTCTGTCAGTGTGTGTGTCTGTCAGTGTGTCTGTCTGTCAGTGTGTGTGTGTCTGTGTGTAAGTGTGTATGTCTGTATGTCTATCAGTGTGTGTCAGTCAATGAGTGTGTGTTGGTCAGTGTTGCGATGGCCGTGGCTGGACAGTGGAGGACCTGGAGGTGCATGGAGGCACGCAATACCGCTTCACATTCCAACGTGACGTCAACATGCTCCAATTTCACAGGTTTTCAAGGAGTAGCTGGAGGATAAGCTTTGGCACAGGGTATGGACGGCGCCATAAGGGGTATTCCCGAGGCTTTACTCCGGAGTCGTATACCGGCAGCAGCAATGTGAGTGGAGCCTGTTTGCTTGTTGGCTAATATTGTTTTTTGTTTTTTTTTAAACAAGGCCCAGAGTTTAGTAGAGGGTGAGTGTGTGTCTATCAGTGAGTGTGTCTGTCAATGAGTGTGTGTTGGTCAGTGTTGCGATGGCTGTGGCTGGACAGTGGAAGACCTGGAGGTGTACAGAGGCACGCAACACCGCTTCACATTCCGACGTGACGTCAACATGCTCCAATTTCACAGGGTTTCAAGGAGTAGCGGGAGGATACGCTTTGGCACAGGGTGCGAACGGTGCCATAAGGGGTATTCCCGAGGCTGTAATCCGGAGTCATATACTGGCAGCGGCAATGTGAGTGGAGTCTGCTTGCGTGTTGGCTAATATTGTCGTTGTTTTTTTTTTTGTTTTTTTTAAAACAAGGCCCGGGGTTTAGTAGAGGGGGTGCTGGGATTTAGTAGAGGGGGGTGTGGCGGAACCAACCTCGCCACTGTCCACTGGAAAGGCCTGGTTGCTCGCCTGCTCCCTTTAGACTAAGGTCCTGCATTTTAAACTTGTATTTTACCTGCAGAAAGGTTTAATCGTGCCTTTCTGTGGACTGTTAAAGCCATGCTACCCCAGATAGCTATGCCATGGAGCCCAGCCGTATACTGAAAGACTGTATGAAAGACTTTGGCTCCATGGCGATTGAACTGTATGTACGTGATCTGAGCACCATCCGGTAATAATGTGCACTCAGATCTAAGCTATCTGGGGATAGGTAGAATGTGTATGTTCTATGTGATAAATGTAACCGTATGTATTTTTATGTCTTTTATTGTCCTTTGTCTGCCATGTGTTCAGTGGAGTTTTGCCTCTGTCCTGGAGATAATTGGATTACTTCCCAATTATCTCTAGGATAGAAGACTCTGTGGAACTGGTTTTGGGCAGAAAAGCCATGCTGCATTTGGTCAAATAGGACTTTTCCTTAACTTTTTAACCCCTGGATGGAATTGGCTGAATTTTGGTTATGTTTATATTTAAAGTATGCTGATTCTGAATATGCATTTTATGTGAATATGATGCATATTTTTAAAGTTACAGTGTATGTATAAAAAGTGTATTTTTCCTGCCTGTGATAAATTACATAAACCCATTGTGTTCAGTAATTATATCACAGGCAGAGGGGAGGGATGTATGTTTGTGCTGGGTGTGTTTTACGGTTCTCCTGTAACCGATTGGTTGTACTGTGTCCCACCCTGTGGGATGTCCCCTTGCATGGGGACTTGCATAAAAGCCAGTGTGTGGCCATTACAGAGAGTTCCTGCTTAACCCTCAAACTGAATTGTCGTCTCATTATTGGGGGAGGATTTATTGTATGCTGTTCCAGTTTGACTGCTAGGAGTGTAAACCTATTCGCATGGTTTTTCCTATTCGGCTGTATACAACATTCATATGCTTAGAAGTACTCATATGCTTCTCCGGTTCGGTGATTGTGGTGTCTGCCAGAGTGCTTGGAGTCCTCAGGAAACGCTAGGAGCTTCCTTTAACGGAGGTACCCAGTCGGGGTGCCAGGTGATCCGTTACAAGGGGTGACTGGGATTTAGTATAGAGGGGGGTTACTGGGATTTAGTTTAGAGGGGGGACGACTGGGAATTAATATAGAGGTTTAGTAGAGGGGGGGGCTGGAATTTAGTAGAGGGGGATGCTTTTTTTGTTTTCATACTGTACTTTTCAAAACAAACTTACGTTTCTATGAAAAAAAAAAAATTTCTGGCCCACATAAACTTAAACCTTGTTTATTTGGCCCGTGCTAGCCTTTGAGTTTCACATGCTGGGTGTATGTGTATATATGTATCTGTGTATGTGCCTAAGAGTGTGTGAATTTCTGAGTGTGTCTGTGTCTCTGGCATTGTGTATTTGTGTATGGGCCAGAGCATCATTATGTGTGTCAGTGTGCATGTTTATTTCAGTGTCTGGGAGCATATGTGTGTCTGGGGTAGATGCTTGTGTTGTGTGTGAGGGTGCTTTTTATTTTTGTGTGTGGTGTTTATGGTCAAACTGTGTTTCAAGTGTGGGAGGTGATAGTGTAATGACTATCTTCACTGGTGACTGTGATGTCATGAGTAGGAGGGTGACTGTGACATGGTAAGTGTGATAGTGTTTAGGTGGTGAGTGTGACCTGGTTTAGGAGGAGGTGTGACAGTGTGAGAGGATGAGTGTGACAAGGTGAGGGTGACTGTGATAGTTGGGGTGAGTGAGTGTGACACATTATGCGGTACAGTGAGGGGAGGTGATTGTTAAAGGGCTCATGTGGCAGGGTGAGAGGTGTTGTGAGTGTGACAAGGTTAAGGGTGAGTGTAACAATGTGAGGGGTGGTAAGTGTGACAAGGGGGTGAGTGAGGGAGTGACAATTATGGTGGTTATGTATGTGAGTGTCAGTATGTGGGGAGGCCGTGTTAAACAAAGACGCCCCACAATCTTTTTTTTTTAAACATAACAGTTGCCCCATCCTGTTTACCTCTTGGACAGGAAGGGATGCACAAATACATTCTATGGTGGTCCAGTGCTCCATGATGACCCAGTGATTCAATATTGGTGGATTCCCTGGTGCAGCTGTATGCCTTCCTGTATGGCGCTCTGTGAGGACATAAGAGTACCAAAACTGTGAATGACTGTAGATAGACCACGACCCACCAGGGAGTAATCTTTAAAGGGCCGAGTAGGGAGATATTTTGCTCTCGAGGAGGGCATGATTAAAGCAAGAACTTCAGGCTCA